ACAATAGAACATATATGTAGTGCGGGATACACGGAAGATAGAGGTATGTGTTGGTGCGGACACACTTCCAGCCCAGTTTTAGATGCGAACAAAGCGGGACGTCTATTCAGGGTGTAGGGTTTAAGGGAATACGATCGATAGTGTATTATAGGGGTTAGGCTTGCGACGCGATTGGACAAGAAGTACTTTCAGGATGTAGGGTACAGAATTTTGGGCTGGGTGCGAGCGAATAAGGAGTGTTGCTATGCTCGGAAGCACGTAATAATACAGATCAGCGTATGAGTAAGGTAGTATACAGCACACACACAGTAGACACATATACATAAACCGCCCACAACAAACACCTACACAGACATCAATACTCAAAGCCGTTTCACCGTCGCTTAATACTTGTAAATAGCATACCGCTGCAATTTTCTGTACCACCCTTCCAGCCGTCTGTAGGGCAGCCATAAAAGCACACGCGCGGATCTCTTTGAAACCACATACCTACCCACTCTCCGGCCGCCGTGTGAGGCTAACAGTTCGTATAACCTGACCTCATCAAGAACGTACCCCATTACGAGTAACATAGTACGCCTGCGAACCACAATCACGTGCAAGGTATCACAAACACTTCGATACGTTTAGCACTGACATCTACGAACACCACTGGCATCGATATGAGCAGCCCTGGCGTGATATGGACCTGTACATCTTCAACAACCACCTCTATACGTATAGCCCTGGCGTGATATGGACCTGTACATCGTCAACAAACACCACTATGCGTATAGCCTTGGCGTGATATGTACCTGTACACCTTCAACAAACACCTCTATATGTGTAGCCCTGGCGTGATACGTACCTGTACATCTTCAGGAAGGACATGGTCCCAAAGTCGTAGAAGACCTCGTAGCAGATCTTGTCCATCAGAGACTCCGGGCTAATGTACAGGTCATAGCAGACGAAAAAGTCGTACACTAAGCCGCGGTGGTGCGATACCTGGGAGGTACCAAGCACAGAGAGTGTGAGTGTGCGTGCAAATGAGTGTAGTAGACATGTGTATGTACAGATCATAGCACAGAAGAGTTGTACACTAAGCCGCGGTGGTGCGACACCTGGGACGTACCAAGCACAGACAGTGTGAGTGTGCGTGCAAATGAGCGTATAGACAGGTGTATGTACA